AAATTTGAGAACTGTAAATTATAAGCAATATATTCCATAATCTAAGCAACATTATATTTTTTATAGTCAGACAAATTATAAAAATGTTATAAAACAATAATGAAACCTGATTGTGGTCTATGAATTCATACAATTACACATCCCTATAGTTTTAATTTAAGAAATGAGGCAAAAAAAGTATTTTTAGACCATGGTAATTTTGATCACTTCCCATTTTAAGAAACATGTAAGACGTCTAAATCACACCAAGAGTTTACCTCATGTTACTAAAAATGTGTTTTTTTCTTGGGGGAGGTGAAGTTTATAATATGCAGAGTTGACATATGAAAAAATGTCAAGACTCACGTGATGTAATATTAAAAGCATCAGTTTTAACCATCAAGTTTTGGCTTTTTTTTTAAATATTTTTTTTTTTTTTTAAGTTGTGCTTTTCTAACACGAAAGTAACTTTAAGAAAAACATGCAATTTATCCCTCCCGCCATCGAAGCTCTGATACTTACCAAATTTGTTACATGGACAGAAATGGCGGCATGCTTTTCAGCTCAATATTTACGGTTACCATAATTTTTTATTTATTGTGCCCAAATGTCACCAAAAAGGACTAATACTAAAGCTGTGCCTAGAATTTTTACAAAAATGAAAAAAAAAAAAATAATAAATAAATAAATAAATAAAAGAACTTACTTTACTTTAAGGGGTGTTGGAACCCCAAAATCTTCAAAAAATTACGATTTCAGATTTTTGCATTTTCAAATTCTCTACACTTTTATCTTTCTAAAAATACCATTCTTTAATCTCTATGAAAATTAGAACTGTAAAAAAATCTAGTTTTAATTTGTTATCTACAGCTTTGATCAATGAGGATTTTTACATAAAAACGCATTTTTCTCCAAACGTGATTTTTTTATACTCAATGTACCTTTTCTCAGGAACTACTGCTCACAGGTATCTAAACTTTTTATGGCTTATTTATTAAGTTCCCTAATATTTACTGAAATGAGCTTTTTGTAATAAACTTAGAAAAAAATTTTTTTAATTTGTTGTGTGAAAAAAGTGCTAAATTTTACTATGCCTAACAAAATATTCTGTAATTTACTCTAAAATTCAAAATGTTTCAAAACTTAATTTCAGTATAATCAGATAGGTATACTTTAATTACAGAAAAAATTTCAAGCTTGTATCTACAGCAGATTTTGAGAAAAGGTACATCGAAAATGGCCAATTTAACATTGTCGGTATAGGGGTTTTTGATACCCCTTAATATCTAATAGGCCCAAACTTACTTTAATATCTATTTTTATTACATTACTAGGAACAGCTTTAGTATTGGTCCTTTTGGCACTTTTTTGATTTGGCGACAAACTTCGGTCGCCAAGGTAGGTCCGGCTTTGAAAATCGGAAAAATAATGACGGATTGCCAACAAAATCCTATCTAGACTAAATAACAATCTTAAAAAATAAGCTCTTGATTATAATAAACAGACTTTCTCTAACTTTTAACAAATTGCAAAAAACAGTCTATCTCTCATTTTCAACATTTCTAGTACTGCTATGATAAATTCTTAAAACACTACGGTAAAGGAATTTATGGCAGTGATTATGTTATGAGAAATGACATTTACAAAGGGTTAATATTTATGTTATGAATAATGAAATTTACAAAAGGTTAATAAATGCATTTCAAACTAGCATATGTTTAGTTTCTTAGATCCTGTTATTAAAAGGAAATTTTAAAAAAAAAATTCAATGTGAAGGAAATCAATTAAATTACAATGAGTAAATTTTGTACCAGTGTTAGAAATACTTTTTAGATTAAATTTTGTATGGTAAAAATATTAAGAAGTGTGTATTTTAATCAGTCAATTATACAAGTAATTAATGAATTTAAAAGCTAAAATTAAATTATCATAAGAGTAAATTTTGTACCAATGGTATGATACACAACAACATCATCATAACTGAGATTTCTGGAAAGATTCGAAACAGTTATGGAATCCACTAGTGGTGAAGTAATAAGCCAGAACAGTAGTAGTCAGCTGGTATATGGAGTTTTGTGGTTTCCTTACAGTAATGTAAATCAGAGCCAGTTTCTCTTAAAGTCCTTTATGTAGGCATCCTTCTTCCGCTAACCAGCATATATATTTATTTTCTATTCATAAATACTGTTCTCTCTTCATATTTTCTTAATTCCAAATCTTACTTCTGAAGTCAAGAAGTGTTGCATCTATAGGTCTAAAAATATGGTTGCAAAATCCTGTTCGGTTTTCGACAGCATTTAAATAAAATAAATAATTTGTATATGATGCAAACAAAAATGCATTACACTATGCTATCATGTAGTGAACAAATTAATCAGGGAACAAGTAGTAATGTAAGTTCCTTTATTTTGTAACCAGAGTTTTTTTTTATGGTTGGGATCTTTACTGTCAATTTCCCCATCTGTTTTTCCACCAAAATCCAACTGAAGTTTTTAGTTTGTAAAACAAACAGTGTTTTGCCTTTCAATGCCACGTTACTAGATAAGATTTGTAGTCTTCAGTCTTGCATTATAATTGCTGATAATTGGATTCCATGCCAGTTAACTTTTGAACCAACTTTGCATTAAATTGATTTGTGTAGCCTTCAGCTACAAATTTAATTTAATTTAAATTTACCTTTGAACTTAATTGTTATCGTAAGTTATCTTGCCACAAGTGGTTGACTGAGTCATAAGTACAAAGTCTGCCTTCTGTTCTGTACATCTAAACTTATAATAGAATAAGAGTATATCTAATAAGAATATATCTAAACTTTGTAATAATTACATTTAAGACATTGAAATCATATAAGTGCTTGCCATGTAGTCAAATTTTATATATAAATTTACTCTAATTTTATTATAGAATTTTTATTACAAAAAATTCAGATTCTGTTGATTAAATGTTTAAGTATGTAGAAATTTGCATAAATTTTTAAAATTAATGTCAACTGTTATGTCAACATGCTACTAATACAAGTACTAATACTCAGTGAAGGTTATTCATATACAGACTGTGAGATTTACAAAATTTGAAAACTATAATATCAGCAATATATTCCATAATCTAAGCAACATTATATTTTTATAGTCAGACAAATTATAAAATGTTATAAAGCAATAATGAAACCTGATTTTGGTCTATGAATTCATGCACACATCCCTATAGTTCTAATTTAAGAAATGAGGCAAAAAAGTGTTTTTAGACCATGGTAATTTTAATCATTGCCCATTTTAAGAAACATCTAAGAAGCATGTGGTTCCTTAGCAAAGGAAACACCAAGAGTTTACCTGATGCTATTAAAATGAGTTTTTTTTTTTTTTTTTTTTTTTTTTTACTTTGGGGGCTATGGAGTTAATAATATGCAGAGTTGACATATGAAAAAATGTGAAGACTCGTGTGATGTAATATTAAAAACATCAGTTTAAACTATCAAATTTTGGCTTTTTTAAAAAGATTTTAAATGTTGTGCTTTCCTAACACGAAAGTAACTTAAGAAAAACATGCAATTTATCCCTCCTGCTATCAAAGCTCTGATACTTACCAAATTCGTTAAAGTTACGTGAACAGAAATGGCGGCATGTTTTTCAGCTCAGTATTTTGAGTTACCATCAATAACAAGGTTATCATAATTTTTCATTTATCGTGCCAAACAGGACTAATACTAAAGCTGTGCCCATTACTAATTTTAAAAAATGTTGTGTTTTTTAGAAAACCATTAATTGACAGTAGCAGTTAATATTGCGGCATTTTAATTGAATTTAACCAAATAGTTCAAAATTTTAATTTGCATATTTCCTTTAAGCCTCATTTTGTCATACATTTACTCATTCGAGAAATTTTTTTAGATAAAGTAAAGGAAAGATTTCATAGCCGTACGAGTCGTAAATAGATCATTCGGATGTGAGTAATGCCATTTGCCTATTATCTAGCAAACACCACTGCTTTACAGAATTAGCAAACATTAGCCTTAATAGGAAATTTAATTTTGATCTAAATTTTGGCTGTTTAACTCAAATCTTGAAGTCCTGATAGAAAATACCCATAGTTGTATTCAAAAGACTTTAACACTCCAATTTTATTTCTCTCCATAGTATTTTGTTTGTTGTAATACTTCAATTTGACCCTCACAAGTTGTGAAGTAGAATAAAGTTCCCTGTCTATATTACTGTGCTTTAACAAATTAGTTAAGCTTTAACTTCTGAAAGCTAAGCCCATTTTCTTACACTTTAAACATACTATTTGCATGGCACAATAAATCCTAATTTCTTTGAAAAGCTTCAGCATTTCATGTTTGATATCAAATTACATTAGATTATCTTTCATCTTCCAATTTTTTAGTCATTTTGGCATATGGAAATTTTGAAGTGGGCTGAAGTGTTTTAAGGAATCTTTTTCTTTGCATTACACAACTCAATGCAAATCACATCTGAACAGCGAAGTTAATAACCCCTGTACACTGAACTGAAATATCAAATGAGCAAAAATGTAAAAATAAACAATTTACCCGGTCAGCTGTCAAAAGCATATTTCAGAAATAATTAATAATACATATTTCCTACGAAAATATTGACATACAGTAATACAGTCAATACAAATACAAGAAAAAATGGTAATGAAAGATATATGTTCAATGGAAAATAGGTTTATATGCAGAAACAGAAAATACGCAAAGGATATACCAACACCCTAATTTATAGAAACGGTTAATAAAACCAACTACTTATAAACTTTTTACATTAATTTTTCAGAATAGATTATACGCAGAAAATCTAAAACAGATCAAAGTTAATCTAAAATTATAGCATACAGTTAATAATGTTATTTAACGCTGTTAGGAGAGTAAAGGCGCCGGCACACGTGCAAATTCGATCGAATGGAGTTAAACAAATTTACTGTTAATGAGATCAAAATTAAAGGTACGTAAGTCATTCGGCATAAATTAACAAAAAATAGCTCTTAATCATTTTAGAAACACATACCATGATTATATTTTATTTGCCAAACAGGAGATCTAAACTTTTCTTTACCGAGTTAAAAGTTGTAAGAAATTCCTGTTGCCATTACAAAAAAGAACTTCATGAAAATGCATATACCTCTTTACCTTTCTTTCTATTATTTTATTTTTTAATTAAGAAATTAAGAACTTTTCTAACCAAAATAAATTTCTATTAAACTAAACGCAAAAAAGACTGATAAGGTGGAAAACTTTTTCAAAGACTAATTTGTCCAAATGCGATTTCGAAATTTTTGAGCCTTTACCTCCGCTTAAATTGGAAGAAAAAGAAGCATAAATCAGAAATTTGAGCGAAAAACTTGAAATAAAATGGAACTTGCTGAAACAAAATAAGGTTTCCTCTAGATCTAATCGAAAAAATGTACCTTCTTCAGTCAAACAGTCTTCCTTTTACAGAAAATTAAATGCCTTGGCAGGACAGAAGCAAAATAAACAGAAATTTAAATTCTGAACCAAATTTGTAATTTAGGGTGTTTACAAATATGTTACATAGCATATGTGATGTATATTTAAAATAACTTTAATGGCGCTCATGCTATGCGATTCCGTTGTTGTGATGCACGTGTTACTGTGCTAGCTGAATGTCATGTGAACTGTTTAAAATTGTAATAATAAAAGTTTTGAATTCTTGAGATATACTCATTAGTTGATATACTCATTAGTTGTTAGTACTTTTAAAGTACAGAAGTAATTAAATTCAACAAACTACACAAGAAGTTACATGGTGTCAGGAGCAAAATGGATTTAAGATCACCTGCTCCCCTAACATTCTCCGTCGGAAATGCTAAAGAAAAATGGAAAAAATAGAAGCAAGAGCTAGAAAACTATTTACCGGCGAATCAGAATGTTGAACCATGAAAGTTTAGTAAATTCTTAAATTAATATCTTTTTATAAATTTATTGTCTTTATTTATTGGCTTTTTACAAAATTTTAAACCATATTAAAATGTTTATGCCTTCAAAATAAAAAAAATTTTTAGAACTAACATCTGTTAACATTTTTTATGTGCATACTGTATGCTGTAGCCAATAAAGTCTGCTTGGCGAGATTTGCGCCGGCGAAAAGAAAAAGTACCAATTTTTTTTTTTATTTATACAAATAAAATAATTTTTGGTACTATTGCGTTTTGAGGACCATACAAAAATTGCAGCAAAAATGTATGCGCAAAAGCGCCAAATCTTGCAAACGCGTCCAATTAACAGTGCGCCACATCTAGCGTACGTCCATTTAGTAAAATAACAACTTTTATTCGTTACATCTGCAGGTGTCTGCAGTTAAACTGCTCATATTTATAAACAGAAACAAATTTGTTAATATGTTAGTTTAAAAACAAATAAGCTTAATATTAAGTTCTATCTATAGTCTAATAATTTCTCATGTTAAACATTTATGTATCTTTTAAAACATATCGCGTTAGAATATTCATATTTTTCATTTTGTGGACAGATGTAACATTATTATTCCATACATGTTATCATTAATCCCAGAGTGAACTGCTTTAGAATATTTTTCAGAGCATTATTACACTATGTATGTTATTATTAATCTCAACGAAAACGGAAAAAGAAAAAATAAATGTAATATATTTAAAAAATTCGACAAAATAAATAACTTAACATACTATCAGGATTTGTGTTCCTCTTTACTTGCCTTGGAAACATGAACTGTCCTGACTCGGAACAGGGAGCTTACTAAAGCTATGTTCAATAAATTGTGAAGTAGACAATACACACAGGAAGGGTATACGAAACCCTTTATTTTTCTATCTTTACAGAGATTTCCGGACTTCGGAATACAGCTGACCAACCACTTGTGGTCTGAACGTAAGAATATAAAACTACTAACTAAAACTTTAACTAAAACTAACTTTGGATTAATATACAAGTGCCTAACTTTAAGATTGGCCGTTATTTAACAAAATCCGTATGTAGTACAGAGAGCTACTAACACTACGATACGTTTGAAATTATCAAGAGGACTAAACCTCTGGCCTTGAAGACAACCAGCAACCGAGTAAAACTACTATGGCAAGCGGCCTGCTTTAATAACTCCTTCCTCTCTCTTGCTTGGCAAAAGCCACAACTTAAGTACTTGGCGTTAGCAAGACAAATTGCATAAAAGTTAAAGCTTTTAATTCTGGCCGGACGGAAGTAGAAAAAAGGAAGTGATAGTAAAGATTTAAAATAAAATAAACGTTAGTAAAACTTAGGATCCTTACAATACATTAAAAATGGAATATTATTTCATTAATACATGCGATAAGTTCGCCTTAAAAGATTATATAGTCGGATAGCAATTACATATTGTAAAAGTATTCAATGTATATTATTTTTTGTGTTAAGATAGTTTTAATCCAGGACAGTCTTTACCAACTTTTAAAGCATCTACAGTGTCTCACAAAAGTGATGGGACACTTGTGCTTTACAAATGGAAAACTGTAATAAAATAAATTAAAAAAACATGTAAAATTTTTTGTGGGGTGTTTCATACTTAAATTTAGTAACAATTATATAATAACATACATTTTCTCAAAATATTAAAATATTAATTTTAATAAAATACAATTGTTTTAAAACGGAGCAAAAAATGACTCACATAAGTGATGGGACACCATTAGATACTACTACGTACTACAATAAAAATATTTTTTGGGGTTTTTATTTTTATTGAAAGCAATTGGCAATAATTTATAAATCTTCTGGCAGTATTTTCTCTCCAGTTTGTTTTGGAATTTTTGTGTTTTTTTAGCTCTGTGCAGCCATGAATGCTAAACGAAAAGGACACTTGCCTGAAATTCGAAAATTAATTATTAATTTGCATATTGAACGTGGAAAATCTATTATATAAACTTCTGAAACAGTTAACTTGAGTCATTCAACAGTTTTCAATATCATTAAATGATATAAAAAGATTCCTATGATTCAGGATAAAAGAAGACCTGGCTGACCATTAGATACTACTACGTACTACAATGGAATAGAGCTTTATCCAATGGAATAGAGCGAATTATCGTTCGAAATATTAAAAAAAAAATCCAAGAATGAGTGCTCCTAAAATTGCAGCTGATTTACAAGTATTATATGGAGTAATTGTTGATCCTGAGACTATTAGAAGAGTAATTCGATCTCTGGATATCACGGTAGAGCAGCCAGGAAAAAATTCTTCGTAAGTGAAAAGGATAGAAAATCAGACTGGCTTTCGCAAAATCCAACATAAATAAGAATTCTGATTACTGGAATGAAGTTTATTTGCTGATGAGAGAGAGTAAATTTAATGTATTTGGTTCTGACGGTAGAATCTTCATGTGGAGAAAACCCAGGGAAGAATTTCGCAAACAGACTTGGTGCCAACAGTAAACATGGTGGAGGAGTTTATGGTATGGGGGTGTATGTCGTCTGCTGGTGTTGGTTATTGTTTTTATTGACAGTATAATAGGATCAGGCACAAGTATGTTGAACATTTTAAATCAAAATTTGAAATCTTCAGGCACGAAAATTGAACCATCGTAACGATTTTAAATTCTACCAGGGCAATGACTCCAAGCACACTGCTTTGAACGTTAGAGTCTGGCTGCTGTATAACTCTCCTGGAATAATAAAAACACCACCACAATCTCCAGACTTAAATCACATAGAAAATATGTTGGCAAAAATTGGAATCAAGAATTCGCAAACACACCATTTCTTCAAAACAACAATTAAAATCGGTGCTTCAAGAAGAATGGGGTAAAATCACTCCAGAAATCACAAAAAAAATTAGTCGAATCCATCCAAGAAGATTAAATATGTTTTAAAAGTAAAAGGAAATCCAACAAAATATTAAAACCTTTTAAAATGTAAAATTTTGGATAAATATTTGACGGAAAAGTAAGTGTCCCATCACTTATGTGAGCCATTTTTTGTTCCGTTCTAAAACAATTGCATTTTTATTAAACTAATATTTAATATTTTGAGAAAATGTATGTTATGTAATAATTGTTACTAAATTTAAGTATGAAACACACCCACAAAAAATTTTTACATGTTTTTAAAATTTGTTTTACAACAGTTTCCTTTTGTAAAGCACATGTGTCCCATCACTTATGTGAGACACTGTATTAAGTTACATTATAACCAACATTTACAAAAGGCAATAATCGAAATGCCATGACTTTGACATATTTTAACTATGATGTAACATACTAGGAACATTAGAGAAAAAAATTCTATTTTTTTCTTTATGCTTGTTGAAAAGTAAAATATTCATAAAATGGTACAACATTCATTCTAGTACTTATAATCTAAATTTACATATAAATTTACTATAAATTTTGGTGCAAAGTTCATTATAAAAATGCATTTGCTAATATTTAATAGTTATAGCATTCAATATCAAATCATGGAAATTTAAGTAATGATACATCAGTTGCATATATTAATTTCAATACTCAGCTCAATGCCAAATTTCTTCTATATCTGAGATAACATGTATTTTTTTTTGAGAATAATTCTTTTGTGTCATTTTTTCATTTAAAAATCTCTTTGAGATATATTTTAATGTGAATTATTTTCAAAATTATCCTCATTAGAATGAATGTTGTTCTCTTTATTATGTTTGAAACTGCCGTTACGTTAAAAAATATATTCAGAAAACTATTTATTGCTGAATGTTTAAAATAAGTTCTACTGCTTTTTGACAAAGAGTATCCATTTGAATTACAGTTGGTTTTAATTAATCGTTGGTTGTATTTTTAAGAACTACTTGATAAAATTCAACAAATTAGTTCAATCTATAAGTTCATCTGAAAAACCTAAAATTTTTATTCCAATTCTGTCATGTGTATATATTTCAAGAATGAAAAAGAATTACAAATTCACTATCCAACAATACTGAGTAATATAAGGGTGTTGATATAGCCAAACTTAAAATGACCCATTTTAAAACCAGATTAAATAAATCATCGCGTATTTTCGGTCATCGAATTTCTTTGGCGTTAAAAGTGTCATAGATTTAGTAAATCCAAGGGTCAAGGTAAGCTCAAATATTTTTTTTCATAGTTCATATTTGCTAAGTTATAAATTTTG